CCTTCCTTCCTTCCTTCCTTCCTTCCTTCCTTCCTTCCTTCCTTCCTTCCTTCCTCCCCCCCCTTTCTCTTTCCAGCTAGTGCTAATACTGGAATTATTTATTGGGAGGATAATTAGGGGGTGAAAATGACCTTTGTTAATCGGTTTCTCCCCACCAAGCTGAAGTCTTTCACAATGGCAAGAGAGGAGCAGGCTGTAAGGAATATTTCTTCAATCTTTCATGTAGGCATGAAATTATGGAGATGATTTGACCACTAAGTGTCTTCCTGTTCAATTAAGTGGACTTCCTGATCAGAACTGTTTGGTTCTGGTGGTATAACCAATTTTGATAGGACAGCCAATTCTGTCTTGCTACTCAATGTCCTTTCAAATGAGAAATTAGTTGCTCTAGTGGTTTTCCTCCAAGGAACATAAATGGAGAGTTAGCCCAAAAATCATTCCTTAGAGCACAACCAGTAGAGCAGTGGTCCCCAACCTTTTTTGTGCCACGGCCCGGTACCGGCATCACAAAATCATCTGCGGCCCGGTACCAGTATCAGCACGCATGGCAAGGCGAGCTGAGCGACCGGCCAGCCAGCCGTCCCCTGCTTCTCCCCGCCACCTTCAACTCCTCCTTTGTACCTGTGTTGATGGGCTTCGCGACGGCTTCGTGACGCTCGCTCGGCTCGCCTTGCCAAGCGTGCTGAAAGAATCCTCGCGCCTTAGTTTCGTTCAAAGCTGCCCCCCCCGATGAAACTAAGGCCCGAGGATTCTTTCAGCACCCAAACGCCGCTTTCCAACCAGAAAAGCTCACCGGAAGCACTTTTTCATCAAAACAAGATGGCGGCGCCCAGCAAACCAGCGGCCTGGTAGAAATTGTTCCACGGACCAGTACCGGTCCCCGGACCGGTGGTTGGGGACCCCTGAACTAATTCCTAATTTGAAAGGACATTGTTTTTTCCAAACTTGAATTGGAAGGGACCCAATTCTGTGTGTCATTCCATCAAGCAGCTTTTTTTTTTGTTTTTGCTTAAAAGTAAACTTACTTGATCCCTTCAGCATCTCAAAAATTTTAATTTTCAACCTCTTGATAATTTCTTTTGAGCTTTTGAAAGTAGAACGCTAGAAACCCAACATACCTTTTTGGAAGGTGTGCCTAGCTGATAAACAATAGAGGAGAACTGTTGTTTAATTTGGGAATCAGTACTTGATTTTTTTAAATCAGTACTTGATTTTTTTACATTTTTTTTTAAATGACCGAAATCCTTTACTTTTAACTCTTCGGAAAAGTATTCAGTATCACAAAGTCCTTTCGATTTTGAATTCCTTCATTTCTTCCTCACTTAAACCCTCCTAACCTGGAACATAAAGGACCCATCATTTTGAGTTCCAAATTTATATTTAGAGAAGATGAGATGATCTTAAGTAGAGTTAGAAAGTTTGGGCTGAGGAAAACAGGGCTGCTATTACTTTTCAACATCTAAGTGCCCCCCAATATTTTGGGGAGTTAGTTAGTTTGAGGCAGGTTAAGATCGATTTATTGAATTTGCAAGGGTTTCCACATTTATTTGAAAAGACATTGGAAAGCGATGAGCTGGGTAATAAGAATGATCAGTAAATTACGTCAGGTATAAAAAAGTTGTAAGCCTTTCAATGCTACGAGTTAATCTTAGCTAGGTGCTACCAGACTTTTTCTGAATTGGTTTGTTTTTGGTTCTGATTTTTTTTTTTGGCTGTTGTAGACCCTCCTATAATATTTACAAGAAGTTTCATAATTATTATGTTGCTTTATTCCTGCTGTTCTCCTATTTATCCACTAGATGTCATCTAAGGATTCAGTTTTGAGTTTCTGCCAGTTCTTTCATCTGGCGCCTTGGACTACACCTCCCAAAATGCATTGGTGTCTGGACTACAACTCCCAGAAGGAACTGACATGTTAAATTCTGTAGAGTAGCCCATCTAGAGAGCACAGAGTCGGAGCAAACTGTTAAGACAGATGCATTGTTCATTAAAATAGCGATCACCTTCAAACAAAATTACTGGGTGCATTAAAATTGCAATTGTGAATTGCAATTAAAAATCAGAAGGAAGCACCTTTTCCAACTGACGAATTTTATTTGCAGGATGAAAGCTTTGGGGATCGCTTAGAGTTCAGCTGACCCTGGCTTAAATCCTATCTCAGTCTAGCCTAAAGTTTCTTAAAATTTTTAGATGGGTGGACTTCAGCTCCCAGAATTCCCCAGCCAGCCTCTCTATGCATCTGTTACAGCTGCCTAAAACTTCTTCCTTCAAGGATCAGAGTTCTGCGTGGGAAAAGATGCCCCCAAATTCCTGAGCTTCTCTCCCCTCTTGACTAACATGGTTCTTCTCCTCCTCCCCCCTCCTTGGTTTGCAATCAGTTGGAACTGCCACCCTGTAGACTTCTACTCCTGAGTAATCCCATCTGAGCCTATTTGCTTCCTTTTGAGCCAACGTGCCAGAAAATGGGGTGCAGAGTTGCAATATTTCTCAACTTTGGCTCCTTTAAAATGTGTGGCCTCCCAAGAATTCCCCAGTCAGGATTCTGGGAGTTGAAGTCCACCCATATTTACAACCTCCTGGCTGGGGAATTCTGGGAGTTGAAGTCCACCCCGCCTTAAAACATGCAGGGTGGGGGATTCTGGGAATTGAAGTCCACCCC